TGATATTCATCAAAGTCTAATGTACACACAGAAAATTGGCCAATTTATAAGCTCAAACTCATGAGAATTTTCTCAAACTGATACTGGTTTAACCAACCCAGTTCAAAAATGCAATGTTGCCAGCACCCTGAGGAGCAATCCTTGTGCCCATTTTTTATTTACATGCCAAAAGTTAACTGTTATCCTCACTTCCAGCAGCATTAATAGTTACCCATTTTAACTTATCTAAATGGAATCATAATGTATGTCTTTGTTCGCTCCTGACTTCTTTCATTCAACCTTTTGTTTGTGAGATTTGTCCATATTGCTGAAGTTTCAGTTTTTTTTTTTTCTTCATATTCTGCGGCTCTATACTATTTCATTGCTAATAATCTTTTCAAACTGAAAGTGTAAAATATCATAGTGTCTTAGTTTGCTCTCTGTCTTTGATTTAAGACAGACATTGAATGTTTTCCTTCCTTCACTTGTTATTTAAGTTTGCTGTACTCTGACATTTATTATTTATTGTTCCTCTCTTTCAACTCAGGTGGCTTTTATCATGAATAATCCTTTCATGCTAGCCCAATAGGGAACATTAGTTATACTCAATAGGGCCTTTAGGTACAAAGTAAGAGTGACTTTTGTTTTTTCATTGTCTCCCCAAAGGCCAATTAAGATTGTGTTCTTTTGACAAGGTAACAAGTGTCCCTTCTGTGCCCTGTGGTTACAGAGCCTCCATCCTCAGTAATGGGAAAAGGACCATGACATGTGGATTCAATGTAAGCTGAAGACACCTGTCACCTATCATGCTGTTACTGCTGACTTTTGCTACCTCTTACTTGTTGGGTCTTCTTTCAAAATCTAGGAGGGTGTCAGTGGGGGAAAAGGAGAAACATCTGTAACAAAAACAAATTAATAAAAACTAAAAACTGATTTCCTTGAAAAGCAAACCGGCCATGCTTAACTCTTCACTGCCCCATGGTACTGAGCTTCTCGAAAATTAAAGCTGACTCAGACCACAGGACTGAAAAAGGACAGATGGATGGGAACCTCTGCCTCAGGGGTTCCCATACCTAGTTACAAAAAAGCACCAGGGGAAGCTTTAAAGAAATAGCAATATCTGACCTCATTCCCAGACAAAAATTGTGATTTCACTGGTTTGGGGAAAAGTTTGGGTGTTCACTTTGAAAGGTTCCAGGGTGATTGTAATGGGTAGCCAGAAGGGAGAACCACCAAAACATCTGTCTTTGTGAGTGATAGATTAAATTCTACTGAATTATTAGACTTTAGCCTGTAAGTCAAGAATTCCTCTGCCGCGTGATGTCACAGCAGACTCTGAGTTGAGCCAGCATCCTAACATGTCTTTCCCAACTATCAGACAATGCCCTAAGTTTCACTCCTAGCGCATATGTTCTTACACCTATTATTTTGATTCACAGCAAATTAGATAGATTGTTCTAAGTGGACTAGCACTGTAGCTTGTCACTTGTTAACACCTGAGTATGGCTGACCTTGCCAGATCATTATTCGAGAGAAGCTGTGGTTATGGAAGGAGAGCTATTGAGATCTTCCCATGTTGAGGAGTGTAGTCATGAGAAATAAAGGTGCAGATGCAAACAGATTTATATTTGTAAACTTGTTTTACATCCCAAAGCCTTCTGGGGCTTTTGGACTATGGTTCTGTTCTGGTGAGCCTTAGTAAACTTCTCTTAAGTCTCACAAGGGAGAGTCTAGAAGAGTGTTTTAAGAAACACGGTCCCCTTGCCTTATCAAAGGAACACAGGAGCCAACAGAAAGAATCCCCAGTAGTCAAATCTCAAACAACTTGAGCAGCACAATATATAAAGTAATATTGGATTATAACCTAAAGTGAAACATAAATACCTATAAGTCCCTACAGTATAAACAAATGTTTGAAAACATAACATGAGGGAGCAGACAATTCTCCCATACAGGAGAATTCCACATAATTTATGTCGATATTGTCCACTCCTTAAGCGTGAGCTGCACATAGTGACTTTTATTCTAAGAGTACAGTATAGGAAGTAGGGGATGGGGCTTCACAGTGCAGGGACCTGGCCAGGTAATAAAAGCTAATGTCATCAGTCATGAACTATTTCGACAGTCTTCTATTTGGGTTTCTGAACTCAATTCTAATGGGGGGCTGTGGAGTGGTTTCCCCACCCAAGCCAACAATTCCATAGATACCAGCTTGTGTCCTACCATTCAACTTAGTTCTGATGCTGTCTACCCACAGGTAGAATCAGATTCCACAGTTTAAGTGTTCAGTCCTACAAACCTGCATTCCCTACCTTTTGATGTCGGTTGCAAGCCCAGGTTATTTGTAACCAACCAGATACAGATTAGATGTCCCCACAACTCTTTCCTGGAACTTCAGATGCCTGTCACGAGTCCAGGTTGTTTCCTGTACTTTTGACAGACTGTCTATAAATCAGAGGTTCTCACAACCTGTTCCTTGGGTTCAATTAATTTGCTACAATGACAGAATTCAGAGAAATATTTTATGTATGAGATCCCCAGTTTATTATAAAAGGATATACTTCAGAAACAGCCAGATGGAAGAGATGCATAACACAGGGTATGGGTAAGGACACAACGCTTCATGCTCTCTGCAGTTATATTCCTCTCCCGCACACGTTCACCAGTCCAGAAGCTCTCCACACTCATGGACCCGTAGGCAGTTAAGTCAACCGCCAGGCTCCTTTCTACCTACAAGGGTGGAGCTGAAAGTTCCAACCCTCTAATCATATAGTAACTCCACTGACAACCACCAGCCCCCATCCATAGGTGAGATCCTAATGTCACCTCATTAACATGACAGAAGACTCCATTGTAACTCTCACCACTTAGGGAACTCCAAAGGTTTTAGGCTCACTCTGATCTAGGATCCATAGAAGATTAAATATGAGAAATATTCTTTGGTCATCTGAATGACCAAATATATATATGTGTGTGTATATATATGTATGTGTGTGTGTGTGTGTGTATATATATATATATATATATATATATTTTATTTTATAAATCATAACAGCACAGTAACCTGGATGTGAGGAATTAAGATTCACCTCTGTCATCTTCCTCACAAAACTCCAGAATTCCAGTCTAATCATAAGCCAAAAATAAAACATAAATCAAACAAACCAATACTGAAGGACATAGTACAAAACACCTGACAAGTACGTCCAAGTCAACAAAGAGGAAGCAAGTCTGCAAAACTACCAAAGTCCAGAGGAGCCTAAGGAGACAAGAATACTAAATTCAATGTGATGTCCTGAATGAGTTCCTGGAACAGAGGAAGGACTAAGAAAGTCTGAATAATGTATGGACCTTAGTTAATAACAACATACTGGTATTTGTTCATTACTTGTGACAACTATACTGTAATGATGATGACGTTAACAATGGGGAAACTGGGTACAGAATATATGGGGATGATCTGTGCTATCTTAACAAGTTTTCTGACAGTCTCAAACCATTCTAAAATAAAAGGGTTATTAATAAAGGGGAAAAAAGGAAAGAGTGATCCTCAGAGCAGCAATGAGAGCAGCATCTGGGATCTTGTTAAAAATTCAAACTCTCGTGTTTCAGCCAAGACCTCCTGAATCAGAAACTCTGGGGATCTAGCATTCTGGGCATGGGGATTCTGACTGTGATTGAGAACTGCTGACCTAGCAGGTTGGCTGCATGCTCTTGCTTTCAGGTGCTTCTCATTTTATATGAGGTCATGTTCCTTTTTATTTAATGCCCAGGAGTGAATCAGATATGGCCTCCTGGTAGCTTTCCATTACCTAGTTATCATCTTTCGCAGAAGAATGATATGTCTGCCTCTCTTCTCCTGTTATTCAAATCTCATCTCCAGGGCTCTTTTCAGACTCTGTTGTGCTCATGTATTCCAGCACACAGATCCCCCCCTCTACCTCTGATGTCCCCAGACATAACATGTACCAACTCGACTGTTTTCAGAGGCCACAGATCACTACAGAATGTGAATTCTCTGGAGAGAGAGGTGACCTTGGACGAACTGTGATCCCTCTGTACTTGAGTTTCTTCATCTGTGATTTGGGGCTATAGAAGAACGTCTGCCTCCTGGATTTTTGTGGATTATGAGTTAATACTTGTAAGGTGTGAAGAATAATAACCAGCACTTAGTAAGGACCTAATAAATGTGAGCTGGTGCTATTATCAGTAGATGTCTTGCCTTTTAAATATTTCTTTGCTTCTCCCAAAGCAGCAGGGTTTTGTGTGTAAATTAATGGCTCAGGCCCTGGCCGGTTTGGTTCAGTGGTTAGAGCATCAGCCCTTGGATAAAAGGGTCTCGGGTTTAATTCCAGTCAAGGGCACATGGCTCGGTTGTAGGTTTCCCCCACCTTGACCAGGGCTGTGTGAGAGGCAACCAATCGATGTGTCTCTCTCTACCATCTCTCTCTGCCCCCCCCTCCTTTCCACTCTTTCTCTAAAAAAAATAATTATAATAATGGTTCAGTAAAGACCGGGTGAATTGAGCCCACAAAGATTTGGGCTCAATTCAAATATGGTAACGCTACCCTACTAACACCAGTGTTCTAAGGCATTTTGATTTTGAGTTGGTATGTTAGAAATATTTCATGTTGTTTATAGAGTGTTTTTAGGATAAAACTTGAAATTTGGGGTTGATGAATATATACAACCTAGGTGTAAATTTATCTTACCTCAAGCTTCAGCCCCTAACAAAAAAATAACTAAAAATGTGCTGTTACCAATGAAAACACCATCCTAAAGTGGATCTCCGAGTATTCTAGTTCCCGAGATCCTCAGCAGAGTTTGTTAGCCTAAAAAAATGAGATTGTTCAGAAAAGAAATCAATACCCCAAGGACTGTTATAGCAGCAGGTAGGTAAGTGAATGTTTGGATAATAGGTTCAGATTCTCCTTATTTGCTCTTTGGAACAGGTTAAATAGAAATGCAACAATTTAGATGCCAGAAATATACAAGTCCTGGTGTTTTGGTTTGTTTTTCAGATGGGGATCAACGTGGTGGACTCTGCAGTCTCGGGATTAGGTGGCTGCCCTTACGCAAAAGGTGCTTCTGGAAATGTAGCCACCGAGGATTTGATATATATGCTTAATGGCCTGGGGCTCAATACAGTAAGTTAGTTTACATATTTTAATATTCATGCATTCCTTGCAGGTCCAAATTAGAATGCATCTCAGATTGGGAAGCAATTTTTAGGTCAAAGTTTTACTGTACTTCTACTGTTTGCTAAAATGCACAGTGGGAAAACACAATACAAATCTTTGGGGAGCTTTATAAAGTAACTTATTGCTAGGGTTCAATCACCAATAATGCTACCATTTCACATTTTTATAGTGTTCCATGACCTTCAAGTACTTTTTTTTTTTAATGTTTTATCTGATTTGGTTTTACACGCTTTGTGAATTAGAGCCTGTGTCTTTGCCGTTATGGTTATTGTTTTCCCAGCTTTGGGTTGTTTTCTTTTTTTTAATAGATGTTTTCCTTGGAGGAAATGGAGATCCCACTGACAACTGGGGCTCCTGGAAAAAAGCCCAGGGCACATTTACAATGGTCAGTGGAGGAGCAGAGCTGAGTAATACTTAGCACGGAGACACCGGGCGACAAGCATAGTCTCTTTACAAGTGGTACCTGAAAAGTCACATGCTCTACAACAACATTCACCCAGATCAGCAGCTTGTTTTGCCACATGCCACATGCTTGTGAACATGACTTATTTAGTCTATAAAGCAGATATATATTCTTTTAGGGAAAAATATAAAAGGCAAGAAAAACAGTTCACAGATGATTAGAAGTTCATAATGTTTTCGAGATGTAAAAGCGCCATCTGGATTACAAAATGGACATTTTGTTCTCCGTCTTTATGTGCACATGGATGCTCCTGCAATACCAAACTTGCCTGCAGTCTCCGTTTCTGCACCATTCCATTCCTCACCTCTCATGGCTTCACAACCACTTGGAATGGCCTTACTCCCCATACTTGATATCACCTGAGGGTGAGGCACCACCATACTCAAAAACTCTTCTTCTAGCAGCTCCTTGCCCATCCACTGGCCTGTCCAGTTGGGTTCCTCTCCTTTGTGCCTCCATGTTACCCTCTTTGCCGCTACCTCTGAACCCCGCTATAGTAAGATTATAGAAGGATCTTATTTCTGTTTCTAGCTCCCCCTGTAGCCAAAGAGCAATTGTTACAGCTTATTCATACTCCCTGCCTATTACATAGAGATGCTGAATAACATCCATTGATATCATGAAGCACTACTAAACACCAAAAGCTATTGCTTACAAACACCAAATGCTATTGGCTATTTTCTGTGATTAGCAATAAATGTTATTTCATTTACAAAATAACTTAATCATTTCTATTAGAAATGTATAGTCATGACAAAAATGAAAGAGCAATAGATCTTGGAGAGTTCATGATTTTACTAAACTCAGCTGATGCTTAATATGTGTCAAGTCATGTTCTGTAACTCTCCCTCTCTCTCTACAATCAATTAAAAAACATTTCAAAGAATAGAGATTGAGAGGGAGAGAAGTAATGGCTAGCTTTTCTTGGCTAGCTTTTTTTTTTTCAATCATTACCTGAAGGCATTTTTCAATATTTTGTTCAGATAGAGTAGGAGGGAGGGAGAGAGAGAGAAACATCGACATGAAAGGGACACATCAAGTGGCTGCCACCCACATGACCCAAATAGGGCCAGGGACAAACTGCAACTGAGGTACGTGCCCTTAGCGGGAACCAAACCTGGGTCTCTCTGGACCGCAGGCCGATACTCTAACTGCTGAGCCAAACTGGCCAGGGCTCTTGGCTAGCTTTTAATTGAGCATATTAGAATGATGATCTCTTTATGATCATAGTTATAAAAAGCCCCTGATTGTTTATTCTTGTCTATTTTAAGAAAAGTACAGACTCACATAAATTAGAAACTACCCCCAAATAGCAAGGGAGTTGAATCTGTTCAATTTTAAGTTCACGTTGTTTCTAGTCCATGTTGAAGGAGGACATAGGAGTTTATGAAATGCTACACGAGTACAAATCTCTGGTTAATCTACCTAATCCTTTGCCTCCCCCAGTGACAGTAAAAGGTACTGGGTGGAGACCTCCATGGTGAACTTTTGTTATACCAAATCCTAGAGATGAGGAACATGCCTTGAACCTGGCCTTCATACTCTATTGTCTGCCATACATGGATTTACCCAACTTTTCAGACAATACAACCTCTCAGACAAGTTCAGATATTTACTGAATACTGTTCATTCCATTTGACCTACAGCTACCTCCTTCAATAGCATACCATTAATGATGTTTCTGAATATGGTTTGAAAAATTATACATTCAACTTTCCTGTATTTCTTACAGTTTTATCAAGCTTCTTTCTTTGTATAGTAAAGGGGTCTTTTTTTTCTAAGTCCTTCTGTATAAACTCCTCCAAACCATTATTATTTTAATGGCCTTTTACTGATATTTTATGGATTGTTTCTACTTTCATTATTGTCCTTTCTAGAATTCAGATACCAACCTGAATTACACTGATCTATTCAGGTATGGCCAGCCTGTGGTTTTATACAATGGTCAATTTCAAAATAGGTTTTAATAAAGAAGAGGAATCTAAAATGTTGACTTTCATGGTTCATGGAAACAAAGCTTGCCCCAAAGCAGTAATGAGCAATATTTTTTTAGTAATGTTAAATGACTAAGTAACTATTAATAAAATTAAAAGATATCTGTTTTGTCTTCTTCCTCCCAAAACCCTCTTCCCCTCTGATTAACAGGGGGTGAATCTTTACAAAGTGATGGAAGCTGGTGACTTTATTTGCAAAGCTGTCAATAAAACCACAAACTCTAAAGTAGCGCAAGCCTCCTTCAGTGCTTGACATGAATGCATTTGTGACTTGAGGCTGAGAAGACCAATTTCAGCTACAGATATTCATCTAAAAATCATTACTGTCAACTTGTTCTGAAATGTGAAGGAATAGACAAGAGTGGGAGAAGAAAAGAGAGACTTTTCGAAAGAGTATAACTGGCACATTTGGAATTCAACATAAAGTAAGAGCAGTCATCAGGTAAATTGCAAGCTGAAGCTAAATAATCAAGTTTGTAGACGTGCCTTTGAACATGGAGAAAAGTCTACTTTTGGGTTCTTACAGAAATAACTTCTTAATGTAGTATTTGTGAAAATTAACTTCAGATTTTGTTAAGTATCAAATACTGTGTGAAATACTTAATCAAGCTGGCTTAGCACAGTGCACACACTGTCAGTAGTTTACGGGCCTTGCATAGTATGCAAAGTGTGTGGCCTCGTTATCATGCGTTATGCCTCTGGATCTCAACTTCCCATTTGCCAAGTCAGTTAAATTATGAACCAAGCGCCAGATCTCCAGCCGACCCTACATAATTGTTAGCAATAGAACTTCTACATTTCAAGTATGGCTAACATCTGTTAACTATTTCAATGACTTTATCTTGTTCCAAGAGGCTGTGGTCAATGGCAAGACGCCATATCCTGGAAGCATATTACGACCTCCCATGTTTGTTACAGGCTTCAGTTCACCATACTTTTTCTTTCATCGGTTATAGTAAAAACCAGCATGGTGTTACTCAACTGTTGAGAAACAGAAGACACAGTATTCATCTGGCTGTCTAAATTGCAGTGATGAGAATAGATTGATCCATGTACCATAATCCACGTTCGTAATTTTCAGATCACTTCCAAATTGCCTGAGGAGATGTCATTGTGATCTAAGAATGTGTATTAAGCCCATTTTTTAATTCATGAAATAAACTGTTTTCCATTAATTCAGAGTACTTTGATTAAATCACATCTCTCTTTCTTACTTTTTTTTTATGGTTATTTTTCAAGTTGAAATGGCTAAAATGTTATCTTTCGTACCAGAAAGAATTGCCAGAAATAACAAAAAAATAATATATTAAGTTGAGAAGAGGAACAGGACGATTATGTTAAGAAAAACATTTCTGTAACCTATGCAAATAATATGGAGACAGTATTATTACATGTGGGTCTAAAACATCAGTTCTATTATTTATGTAGACTTCTCCAATAATATTGGGTGATCTTATCTTTGAATAAATTTGAATATAACTTGAAATTTGAATGTGAGCATTGTGGACTTTCTATTAAATATTCATTAAAGCATTGAAATGAAAAGGAATTCAATAAAATAAGAGAAGCACTGATGACAACTAAGTTAACTTTAAAGATATACACTAAGAAAATAATCATGAGGGAAACATATTGGTGATTGACAAAATCAAACCATATTTCCATGGAGAAGGCCAACTCATCCCGGTTGCCATAGCTGGTAGAGCAGGAGCTTGTAATGCAGAGGACTGAGCAACTCTTTGCATTCAGGTTAGTGTTTCGGGGTGGAAGCAGTGACAGGAGCAAACAAAATTTCAGCTCTTTGCAGTTCTACCTGTCACATATCCCCTGTGCTTCTCCCTTCACAAAGCACACAGCCCTGTGCACTGGGGCAGTCAGAGGACACCTCCCCTGCTTGTGCATAGCAGAAATATACACCTCATCTTCTGAGATGGCCTTTTCCTCTCTTACGGAACTGTGATGATTTCACCTTTGAGATATTTGGAAAAACATCTGTTGATGAAAACTGCTTATAGAAGCAGCTAAGGGCAAAACTTGGCTGTTTTTGAAATAAAAAGCACAGACTCTTTAAAAAGCAGAGCAAGTCATCAGAAACCCAAGGTACAGCCTAGCACACTTACAAAGCACACACATTGGTCTGTCAATTGATCATTTCTGGGAATACTTTGATGCTTCCTAATCACACTCACCAAAAGAAAGTTTGTGTTGAATATTTGTTATCTTTTCTCCACCCAAACCACCTAAAGCCCTCTGGTAGCTTAAAGAAAGTTCCTTTTCTGGTCTTCGGGGAGAAGAAAATTACCTAATCACATAAAGCTGCCCAAAGTCCACAGGCAGAATCCCCCTAAAGCTATATTTCAACCAGGAAAACTTGGAATCTTTGCAGGACCCACCCAAGTAACCCACCCACACATAAACCCATACAAGGGTTAGCTTTGGAGAAAGGCTTAGAAACAGCAAAGCAATTGTGACCTTTACAAACATGCATGTCAAAATAATCTTTTATGACATCTGCCCTTAAATCAAGGAAAACATCCTTTCTAGAATCGGTGGTACATTTTATCCCATGTATGTGTTGATGACCTGTTATAGACTAAGTCTTGAAGTCCAAGTCACTGAAAAAAAGAAATGTGAACTTCACAGGTGAAATATTTCTGAGAAAATTCTGAATGTCCTTTTATGTTGTTTATTCTGATCACTGTAACATTTGATAAATGCTCTTTTAGCTGCACTCCTATGATTATTCATGTGCATTCCGTATCTTCAAAAAGATAAACTCCAGATATAAAAGTCATAGGTTATTTAGCATTCAATAAGTGAACCACAAATATCATGACTATCACAATTCTAAAGAAGAGATAAAATACTAAGACTTGGGTACCAGCCAGAAGTCTGAAGTAATAGGCAAGTGAAGGATTGCTGTGTATACCAATAATCATCTGCAAATTGCTTTGTGTACTAAAACACGTGAGTTTTGTGCATGTGTGGGAAAGACCAGAACGTTATATGAATAGTGTTGGAGCTATAGAGATAGGGAGGAAGGGGTTGGCAAGGGGTGGAGGGTGGGAAACAGTATTTTCTGCTTTTGAGCTGCTCTGACAGAAGGACACATTCTGCCATGGCAAGAATATCAGCTGACTGCTTTGAGTTGCACAGAATACAAAACCTTAACTCAAAAGGCTTAAAGAAAACAAAAGTTATCTCAAATATTTCAGAAGTATTGCTTTTCCACAATCATTTAACTCAGTGGTTCCATTATGTTATAGGCAAAAAATGTCTCCCCATTCTCCTGCTTTTCCTGTCTCAAGGTCTCCTCAGGCTCCTGATCCTCAAAGTTGCAAGACTACAGTACCACTAGCAGGCCTCACATTCTACACAGTGCTCCCTTTCTAAAAATAGTTGACAGTATTACAGATGTCCCCATCACGCCTCCCTTTGCCCCCCTCCCCCCAACCCCCACCCCACCCCAGGCCTTCAATCGCACTACTATCTATGACGGTGTATTTTTTAATGTGGGAGTATTTCCTTACCCCTTCCCAAGCTTTTTCCCATGTCTTATTGGGCAGAATATCATCACATACTGCTTCTTTAAACTTCGACTTAGGTGGGAAATAGACTATTAGGACAGACCAACCAAAATCACTCGTGACTTTGAACAGATCAGGGATAAGGTAGGGGAAGAAAACTATAAAATATGAACACATCTTATGGTGAGATAGTCGCAAAATTTAAGGCAGATCAGTTCACAACCCTAAGCAAGGATTTGAGGGGTATATGGATAAGAAAGCCTGACTCATCTATATGTTGCTTACAAGAGACCCACCTCACAACAAAAGACTCACATAGGTTGATAGTGAAGAGGGTGGTGGTGGAATTTTTTCAAGCAAATGGAAAGCAAAAAAAGCTGGGGTAGCAATACTCATATCTGATAAAATAGATTTCAAAATGAAGACTATAACTAGAGACAAAGAAGGCCACTACATAATATTGAAAGGCTCTATCCAACAGGAAGATATAACCTTGATACACATATATGCACCCAATATAGAAGCACCAAAATATATTAAAAATATTTTGGAGGACTTCAAAGGAGAAATCAATAGCAATACAATCATAGCAGAGGACTTCAACACCCCGTTTACACCACTGGATAGATCCTCTAGACAAAAAATTAGCAAGGAAACAGAGAGTCTAAATGAAGCACTAGACCAAATGGATTTAATAGATATCTACAGAGAATTACACCCCAAAACTACAGAATTCACATTCTTCTCAAGTGCACATGGGACATTCTCAAAGATAGGCCACATGATTGGACACAAACTAAATCTCTACAAGTTCAAGAAGATTGAAATCATATCAAGCATCTTCTCAAATCACAAAGGCATGAAACTAGAAATCAACTGCAACAAAAACATGTAAACGCATTTGAACACGTGGAGGCTAAATAGCATGTTATTAAACAATGAATGGGTTACCAAGAAGATCAAGGAAGAAATTAAAAACTTCCTGGAAACCAATGAAAATGAACACACAACAACACAAAATCTGTGGGATGCAGCAAAAGCAGTTGAGAGGGAAGTTCATAGCACTACAGGCCTACCTCAAGAAACAAGAAAAAGTTGTAATTGACTGTCTAACCTCACAACTTAAAGAATTAGAAAGCAAACAAAAAGAAAACCCAGAGCAAGTAGAAGAAAGGAAATAGTAAAAATCAGAGAAGAAATAAACAACATAGAGTCCAAAAAAACAATTCAAAGGATTGATGAAACTAAGAGCTGGTTTTTTTAAAAGATAAACAAGATTGATGGACCCTTAGCTAGAAGCACCAAGAAACAAAGGGAGAGAACCCAAATGCACAAATCAGAAATGAAAGAGAAGTAGTAACAACTGACACCACAGAAATAACAAAGATTGTTAACAGCTACTATGAACAATTATATGGCAACAAATTCGACAATCTAAGGGAAATGGACAAATTTCTAAAAACACACAGTCTCCCAAAACTGGACCAGGAAGAGATAGAAAACTTGAACAGCTAAAACAATAACAACTAAGGAAATTGAAGAGGTAATCAAGACTCTCCCAGCAAACAAAAGGCCCAGGCCCAGATGGTTTCACGGGGAGTTTTAAGAACTAACACCCATTCTCCTCACACTATTTCAGAAAATTCAAGAAGAAGGAAGTACAAACTCATTTTATGAGCATAATTCTATTTCCAAAACCAGAAAAACACTATAAAGAAAGAAATCTATAGGCCAATATCCCTGATGTACATAGAGGCCAAAATTCTGAACAAAATACTAGCAAATCGGTTCCAGCAATATATCAAAAAAATTATTCAGCATGACCAAGTAATCATTCCAGGGATGCAAGGCTGGTACAATATTTCAAATCAATAAATGTGATACACCACATAAACAAAATGAAGAATAGAAACCATATGATCATATCAATAGATGCTGAAAAGGCATTTGACAAAATCCAGCACCCATTTCTGATAAAAATGCTCAGCAATGTGGGAATAGAAGGATCATATCTCGACATAATAAAGACCATTTATGAAAGACCTACAGCCAACAACATACTCAATGGGCAGAAACTAAAAGCATTTCCATTAAGAACAGGAACAAGACAGAGATGTCCACTTTTGCCACTCTTATTTAACATAGTACTGGAAGTCTTAGCCACAGCAATCAGACATGAAGAAAACATAAAAGGGATCCAAATGGGAAAGGAGGAAGTGAAACTATCATTATTTGCAGATGACATAATATTATACATAGAAAATTCTAAACACTACATCAGAAATCTTCTAGACTTAATATATGAATTTGTCAAAGTAGCAGGATACAAAATTAACGTCAAGAAATCGATGGCATTCTTATACACCAATGATGAACACACAAAAAGAGAAATTGATAAAACAATCCCATTTACCATCGTGACAAAACAATTAAGATACCTAGGAATAAACTTAACCAAAGAAGTAAATGACCTATTTGCAGAAAACTACAGGACATTGAAAAAAGAAATAGAGGAAGATATAAAAAGAAGCACGTACCTTTTTCATGGATTGGAAGAACTAACATCATTAAAATGTCCATATTACCCATAGCAATCTATAGATTCTATGCAATCCCCATCAAAATACCAACGACATATTTCACAGAAC